CTGCCCTGCCTATACGTGTACATCACTCTTGAACTGATTTTTAGCTCCTGCAGGTCTCTCAGCTTCAGGCAAGATGGGCGGCCCATACAAGCCCAAATGCCAGGTGATGTTTGCTGACAGCTTCTGGGAATGCTGTGGTTTCCTGCTGGACTCCTGTGTGCTGGGCTGCCTTGAACTGGGGCAGCTCTCTTGCTTCTGCACAAGACTGACTCCTGCTGCCCAATTCTTTCTTGCAGGAGTTTGAAACACAATTCCCTGCCTAAAAATGGATAGAACACTACCATTCATTGTGTACTACACCCTGAAATTGTTGGGTCAATATTAAGGAATTACATAATTAGCTGGAAGAGTGGGGGGTTCCAGGTAGAGATAAAGGTTTTGGGTTTTAATGGGGGTTGTTTTTTGTTTTTGGTTTTKTTTTTTATAACGCAAAAATGACTCAAGGAGGGAGAGCTGAGAGTCACTCCATGCACATTTCCATGGAAGCAGCTTCAACAAGGGCAATGGGAATAACTGCAAAAGCAAAATAAATCTAATTTAAACATTATTAAGTATTAAGATATTTGTTGCAACATGGAAAAGGGAAAACATAAAAAAGTAAAATCAGTCATTAGATAAATAATAGATAAATAGCTAAATTAGATAAATAGCATAGGATCAGGAGTTTTAAGAGACCTTCTGTAGTGTGCACCAAATGTAGATTGTGGTCTTATATTCACATTTTTCTCATGTAAAGATTTTGTTAACATGTCACTAGAATTATGGAAAGGTGTAAATGGAAGATTATTGGCCTTTGCACAACAGAACACAGTGGAATTTTCTAGAATGATTTTTTCCCCATAAAGTTGTAAATTAATAATTATGTTACTACTTCTGTAGTGTAAACATAGGTAGCATAAAATGTTACCTATGCCATTGCAAAACACTCGAGTCTCAACGTTCCTAAGAGCCTACATGCCTGCTTTAAGAAAAAGTAAACAAAGAATGAGACAGAAATAAATTAACTTGGCTTAGAGTTAAAGCATTGTTAAGATATGTGGCAGGATAGCAGACACAAAATTGGAGGGAGAAGAAAGTAAAGAATAGAATTAAAATGCATTTTCTTCTCTTTCCAGTTACCTGTCTTCTTTTGTTATTCATATGCACTTGTTGAAATTGCATGTAAATGATTGATTGACTCAGCAAACTCATTGTAATAAATAATGTTTGATGTGCTGTCTTGAACAAAATCTTTAGAAATTCTGTCTCTTTTCTTTGTMTGCTGACCTTGTGGCTTTTAATATCTTGTTTCCCATCTGTCTGATTCCATCATAATCTCAGCATAACTTTCAGACCATAATGCAGCTCTCTTTTTGTTCTGATTTAAGTAAGTCTGTAACACAAATATGGGATTTGGTCTTCAACAGTAATATTAGAAAGGAATGTTGAAATATGTATTCCCTTTACTGATGTGAAATAAAGAAACACTTACCTGTAGATATTTGATAATACATATTTACAGAGCATAGATCTGTCTCTACAAGTAAATGAATACAGAGATGTCTCTATCTTTGTATTACATCTGCTTTAATGTTACAAGTTCAAAGGTTACTTTTAAGGATTATTTCTTAATTAATGGAGAAAAGAAATGGGTCTATAAGCTTTCAGAAAAGCAGTTTTAAATACAGATTTAAAAATACTTTGCTGAATATGTCATACAGATCTACCCAAAATCCAATTTGTGAGATTGATTGTACTGTAGATACTTCTGTGGCAAGAAGTGTCTCTAGCAGTGAGGTTCAGTTTTGATTAAAGGGGAATTTGGAGAAATAGACTTACATTTTTACAAATATTTTTTCTAAGGTATATAATGTCTGTAAAAATGTTCAGTTAGGATATCTTTTTTTTTTCTTTTTCTTTTTTTCTGCTTGTAGTTCAGCAGTTTCATTTACAGCTGTAAGATATAGGCAGATAAATTCTTTGTGTCCTTTATTAATGACATAAATTGTATATGCTGAAAGATCTTTCTGGATAGTGCCCTTTTAGTAGGACTAAATCATTAGAGACACTAAAGAGGATGAACTGATCCAGCAAGAGAGGAAAGGGAAAAGCATGGCAGTGCTAGAAAAATCTAGGACAGTTTAATGAGGCAGTAGAAATAGAACCATTTTCAAAGTTTGATGAAACTGTCAGAGTTATTATAAATGTGGCACAAGGCCATGGAGTTCACTCAACTGTGCATTTTCAAATAAAGCACAAAACACTGATATATTTACTTTGATGTGGTCTATATTGTGGTCTATTTGTTTGGTGATGATACTATATTTACTGCTAATAATTCATTTTGGCTGGCTAATTTGGCTATGGATAAGGTACACAAATCCAGAGAAGGAAGTCAAAGGAGGCCAAAAGCTTTTTTCCTTTATGATTTATTGACAAAAACAATAATAAACAAACCAGTTTCATGGCCTACATAGGCATACGCATTCAAGCAAATGATCAGTACTTTGAAATGGAATTATTCTTCATACTAAGTAGCAAGTTGGTCAGAGATCTTGATGTAGTCTAAGCAATTGTCAGTTCCAACATCGCCATTTTTATTAAGCTCTGACTTCCCTGGCCATTTCTATCTCTTGCTAATGAAACAAGTCTGAAGCAGATGCTTAAGTGGTGAAATTTCCGTATCTAGTGAGTCTCATGTTGTAATTATTTTTTTCCTCGTATAGTGTGAAGAAGTGCTTTGGAGAAATCTAGATATGTGGTTTTTTTCCATTACTGAAAATATTACTTTTGTCTCATCAAGGAAGCTGAAGCAATTTGCAGCACTGTGTGAAAAAGATACATTTTTAGGGATAGAAGTTTTCTTGAGAAGAATTTTTTAAATGAAATTCCTACCCCTATTTCTACAACATAGAATGTAGAAACAAATAGATGGAATGAAATCTTTCATTATATTCAACATAAATATATTTGAATATTTGTTTCACTAGCTTTTGATTCACTGTGTCCTTCCCAGAGTTAAGTTTGATACAGCATTTCCTATATGCAAAATGTGGGGAGTTAAATGCACATTCATGGATCTTTTGAAGTAAAAGCTGGTTGTAATGGGTACATCTCACCTGTCAGTGTAATTTGTGTGTAAGGTGGCAGCTGTGTGGTGTTGCATGTAAATACAGAAGAATATCTTATGATTAATATTTCATCATCACAGCAGGGCCATTTGCTGTGGTAGAAAAAGTATCACAATGGAGTGTGACCTCAAAYTGAAGAATGGCAGGAAACATGGGTCATGGCTAGGTGTTCCTACTAAATGACCCAGTCTTGTAACTCATCACATTGTAACTCTATTTCTATTATCACTGTATATTTCATTCTATATTGCTGAGGAAAGTTACAAACTAGAAAAGAAGTTCTTTCTGCATACTCCCAGTTACATTTCCTTAACTGCTGAGACCTTCCTGGAGACCAAAGGACAGACTACACCTGGTTCAACATTTTAGCCAAATAATAAAATATTATTTGGCTATAATAAAAAAAAAGCTGGAGCTGAAATAATAATAAAAAAAAGCTGGAGCTGAAATCCAATTACAAAACATTTTCCAACAGTACTCAGGAATAAGGAATTGTATTTGTAGTTAGTATGTATGAATATAAATTTTGTCAGTAGTTAGACTCTTGTTTGCTGTATATTTTCTTAAGTTTTCTGCTGTACTAAATCACTGCATCCATAATCTTCAATTAAATATTTTCTTTAAGTATGACAATGACATATTCACTTTGCCTTTTCAGAATWTATGGAGACAGAACAAGAATATGAAATGGCATGTGTTTTTCTGAAAATTCAGATATAATTCAGATACAATTATATTGGAATTTAAATAGTGGACTCTGAATTAATTGTGTGTTTTGTTGTAGTTTAGACTGATTGGTAGGTACAAAATAGTATAAACACTTTGAAAATCAAAGCAAATTTCTTCCATCTGATGGCAGAAATATATAGAAAGTAATATTTTTTGAAAAAAATGTTCACATGGTCTACTGTTTAGGCAAGCACTTGTACATACTGGTGGAGCTAGTTAACTGAATAAAACAAATGCATTGTGTCTGATGAGTTAATGATAACCTTGCATGGTAACTGTAATGCTTTATTGTGTTACTTAGCTTCAGATAACATCACACACTGTATTCCCTGAAAGAATTAGCAATAAAGCATCTGCCATGTATTATAACAGAACCGCTGATTTTCATGCATTACGGCATCATAAATGTTCACTTCTTTTTCCTAAGATATAATAATAGTTGCAAAATATATATGAAAACTCTCACATTCTGGTTACTAAGTTAGCATACCATATTTCCCCCAAAGTTAGTATTTTTCCAGTTCTGTCTGTCTGACTAATAACTTGCTAAATCACTCCTTATCTTTTTATGACAGATGATTTATCAAGGCCTACCACTTAATTAATATTACAGAACATGTGGGGAGCTGAAGAATTCAGAAGTATTTTCCATAGCTTAGGCATGTAAAATGAGAAGCATAGGAGAAAACAATAATTTAATCTTGTAACCGTGATTTAAGCATGGGATTCAGGTTCAGGAAATAGTGGAATGGTGAGTCCTATCCCGCAAATCCATCATGCTTACCACTAGACTTCAGACAAGACACTCATTTTTTTCTTTGCTGCATTTGACAATTCTGCAAACTATTTAGGATAACGCTATCTTATCTCTCAGGGTAGTTTAATGCCATGTATGTCCAACATTACTAGTGTATGTGTAGAGGAAATGTATTCATTTTTGAGTTTTTTGAGTTGTACTTAAACACTTCCATGATATAGCTGTAGCCTGAGTTTTCCTAATAGTTAGTAAAAAAAGTGTACAAAATATATAATACCTAAAGGATACTTTTGTGACATAAATATGTTAATTTATGTATCTAAAGCACATAGAATGGAAATCTCAGAGAAGTTGTCAATAAAGTTTCAGCTTTCCTGAATATTGTACTTTTTCTCCATTTTCAGGTTGCATGTCTCACTCATGTAGCAGCCAATTACCTTAATTGCAAAATTGAAGCAAAACGCTGGGGTACTGCTCATGGCAGTATTGTTCCATATCAGGTAAGCAGAAAGCATTAGGTTTTTCCCTTGGAATTTATTATTTTGTGTATTATGAGACTGAGAACTGACTTTTCCCATGACCTGCTGTAGTCTGTAATGTGTCTGTGTCTGGGTATGACAAGGTTCTGTTGTTCATTGTCATTTCTGCATTTTGCATATTTCTTCATCAGCAGTAGATTAGTAACAGAACACTGAAATAGATCAAAGGTGTTTGCTGAAACTGGATGCCTTTAAAGCTATCATGATGACTTGATTGGTTTTCACCTGACAGAGAAACCTTTTTTTTAAAGGTTACCTGACTTCCATACCAGTCATAAACTGAAATCTTTATATCTTTTCCCTCTGAATTTTGGCGGTTTTATCTTTTGGGTCTATAGGAGCAGTCTAAATGGCCAAGATGATCTGGCAGTACTACAAAATAGTTATTTTCTTATGATTTTGTTACAAATCACTGCCTCAATGAGACAACAGGTTGACAAAAGTAGTTAACCTGAAATCAGATCTCCTCAGCAGAATTCATATTCTGCTACATCTAATGAAAAGTTGACATTCCTTAAAATAACATAATCTTCATCATATAAACAAGCATAGAGGGGAAAAAAAAATCTCACTGCAAGTTTTACCTTACTTTTGACCAGTACAGGAAACTCCTAGTAAACAAAAACCGATTCTTTTTTGGCTCTTTGTTTTCTGTTCTTTGATGGAGGTCATGCCTTTATGGTGACTTGAGCATACATTTAATTTTAAAAAATCTATTCTTTATTTCACAATTTTTGGCATTTCTCATCAAATAGTCATGTTTGCATCTAGCTAGGCAGAGCCTCTATTAATTTCTGGCCAGAATCCTTAAAGTCATGAGAGGGACAGTTTCCAGCATTTGTCTGGGATAGCTGCACCTAAACACTGCTGAGTTCCTTTACCTTCTCCYTTCTTTTTAAAGAAAGTGAGGGAAGTTCATTGTATAGTCTTCCCAGTGGTGATCATAATTTAAAGATTTGCTGCCTGTGACCATAAATGCYGAAGCAAAAGCTTTCCACCATTATGCAGAAGACTCTCACTAGCTAGTCACAGCCAGGCCTCCTCAGGTCTAAAAACAAAAGGAGTTGGTTTTGTAAGGACTAAGTCTACTTGATCTAGGAGACCTTTTCCAACCACTTGCCACTGCATAATGAACTTTTATGYTCAAAACTTTTATATTTTGTTATGAATTAGCTACAAAAAATGTCAAATTGTCTCAGACCAATGGGGAGGTTTTGTGGTTCTTTCTGCAAGAATGGGTATAGTCCTGCAGTTTTCTTGTCTCCAGTGCTACTGGTGTAGCAGCCATGGGTGTGTTTTCTGCATGACCCAGTGTGACCAAGTATCCATTACACAAGTATTTTCATTCTGCTGTGTTTCTGTGATGCGACCTTTTGATGCAAGCTTTTTTGAACTTTGGTATGTTGAAAGTATAAAACAGATCTGAGGTATCTAAAGTTTGTATAAGCAAATTAAAAAACCTGACTACACAAAACATTTTATCTTCCCCATATGGCATTTGGTTGAATAACTGAAACTTGCATTCTTTTGTGTCCTTTTGGCCTTTGTTTTTTCACAGTCAAAATAAAAAGCTTACATTGAGTATCCTTTGTTTCCTTTTTCATAGACTGCTCTTTGGGTCTAGGAGATTGTTTTAGCTGTTTTTTGATTTAATCTAAATTAGTCATTTAGTGTAATCTAAATTAGTCATTAGTGTAAATAATTACTTTAAAAAATCCTAATAAAACTGTAGTTCCTGTGTTTCTGTATGCTGTTTCTCTAGTAGGTATTAGAAATATTACTTCAATATTATAGCAATTTTAATCTGAATTTTCTTGTTCATAAACCAGTAATTAGGGTGGATTTACTATGGGTGGAGTTTTGTGTCTATGTATTTGTGGCTTAATGTTCTGTCAGGTAGCATGGTTGCAATTCTGATTGTAGCCATAAGAATATTTTGGGTTTTAGAGGGTTTTTTTTTTCCTTTACTAACATAAGCTATACTTAGATTGCAAAGCTGTTCATAAACTTAAATTAACCCTCACTGTTTCCATTGTAGTAGTTGTATAGTTTCTCCCACAGCTCATTTGTAATATCTTTTAGAACAGAACTCTGAAACCTTTCAATCCTCATCCTACTTATTGAATATACTGTTATTTGCTTACTGAACTAAGGATTATCACAATGCAAATTTTTACAAATATTTTTTTGTTTCAAGATATTTTATGCAAGTGAACTACAATTCGTTCAAGTAATTAAAATACAAATCAGAAAATTCATTTTCTGTATATTTCAGAATAATTAGGTGGTAGCAAACTGTTGGTTGTTTTTTTGCATGTCCTTTATTTTGTTTCCTTTTGCTGTGTTGTGAGTGTTTTTACAGGTCATAAGTTATGAAGTGATACAGAGCATGCAATCCTCTAAGAAGTGTCAGGTTATGTTAAATCATGGATGATTGGGTAAACATGAGATCCTCTTATAGATTAAAAAGGGCAAAATCAAAATAACTTACACCTTCTTTCAGTGTGAAAGATGTCTGATCGGAGTCACACTAGAGTACTGACCAAAATAATAAAAAAATCTGTTGAAACATTCTAAATATGTACATAAATATACATTTTTTTTTCTTACAATTGTTACAAGGAGCATTCTATCCTGAATGCTATAGTAGCTTTTATTTCACTGAGCTTCACTTGAATTAGTTTGTTCAAAGTATCTTTGCAAATGGTTCTATTTTTTTCTATTTGCAAGGTCAAATTTGCCTTTGACTGTATCTCTATTATTTCACTGCATTTTCTTGCTGCTTCTTGACTGAAAAACTAGCAGTATAATTTGTCTCTCAATATGCTTTCTAGATGGACCTTTTTTACTTTTCTTTGTATTTAGAAATGTGAAAATGAAGCATTAATGAGGTAATGAGTTTTCTCCTTCCTGAAACTATTAACATTTTCGAAAATCTATTTCTGATCTGGTCTGAGATATTAAGTCTGGTGTGCAGGGGCCTCCATACTCTTAAGGTTTTTCTCAATTGCTGGCAATGTGCTGACTTCATGACATGGGTCATCTGAAATGTCTTTTGAGTATGCAATATCTTCCAGGCTTCTTGTAAAACTATCTGTAAAGGTTTACCACAGATTTTCAGTGGAGGTGAAATCTGCAATATGACACAAAGATGAAGTAATCTACATTTTTATCAGCCGAAATCAGAAACAGTTTTTTCAGTCCTGAAATCTTTATGAGAAATTCCTTACTTTGAACATATCTGGTGTTTAATCAGGGCAATGTAGTTTGAATAGATGACTCCTGTGATTGTTCATGTAATTGGATCCCAGTTTGGTTGGTTTCAAGTGTTAAAACACAAACCTTGAGTTCTAGGCTGTATCTTAAATATAATTAGTACAATTTTTAAGAAACAGTTTCTATAATGAGACACCTTGTTTTTCAATGATTATCCAGAGAAAATTGGGGCTTAAAAGCATCCGGTATACATAATTGTGCTGAAAAGTAAAGTTCTTACTGTATTTCATTTGGGATGATAAGGTCTAGTGGTTTCAGCAATGTTTCTCTCTTGCCTGTACCATGCATGAGATCTGGACACTCAATTTTCATCTTTCCATTGGCCCACTTGGAATTAATTTTCCTGAGAAAGTCTATCTAACTGGAATGTTTACAGGATATTTCTTGTGCCAGCTTATCACTCTGCCATCAGACACCCTAGGCAAGTGGGCACTACTTTCAGAAGCAAATTTCCAGCAAAAGGTATAGGGCTGTTTCCTCTCAGGCCATGATGATAAAAGTCTCAGTTTAGAACAGTGAGAAACCAAGTTCTTGCAGAGATCTAAAGAATATGTTATTTTTGTTCCAGATTTGGTCCTAAGACTCACAGGGTTTTCTCAAGTATAGTTCACTATATTTTCAGAATGTGCAAAGGCACAGCCATTCTGTACCGAAGTTGAAAACATGAGACAACAAAGGAATTGTTATTTTAACCAATTATCTTTYCTGTTGATTGAAAAATGCATTGTAATAACTCACAACTCATCAGACCCTCCATTAATGTTTTCTTTGTGTTAGAGCATCAATTAGATTCTTTAATCATCAACTTCCTTTTGTGCTAGGCATAAAATTTCTTTCATATGAGGAAACTATCTTGGTATCAAAGTCGGTTGAAATGTGTAATGAAAATCAAAGTATAGGCTCACAAGGAAGTGAAAGTTATGAGGTATTAGGAAGATGAGTACATTCTTAGATAAAATACCTCTGCCTTATTTTTGTCATCTGCATCTCATACTTTTTGGTCATAGAATTTCATACTGTCCAGGAATCCTACAAAGAAAATCCCACACATGTCACTTGTGTCTCATCACAGGAATAGAGAAATTCAGTTATTGACTTGATTTATCTGGTAGAGATGCTTTCCACACAAAGGCACAACGTGCACCAATTTTTCTAACTCAGCTCTGGAGAATCTCTCAGAACTTTAATCTCTTTTTTTTTTTTTTTTTTTTTAACAAATTTTTTTTTTTTTTTTTTATTTTTTTTTTTTTTTTTTTTTTTTTTTTTTTTTTTTTTTTTTTTTTCTTCCAATGGAGAGGACAGCAGAATAATTCCAATCATTTAGAAATTTCAAACTGCTTATTCCATGTAAGAATGGTGATATGTACTCATTTTCTTGTCTGTCTTTATGCAGTTTTATTGGATATTTCTGCAGTTAATGAATCTTGCAATCAAAGGCAACAAAGAATAGAACTTTGATAATTTGCAAAGTTTTGTTTTGTATATGACACTCTCCTTAAATAAATTCAAAATGGAAGAAAAGTTTTCTTTTCTATATTAACCCAATCTAGGAGAAGATGGAGCTTATGCCCAGGAAAGAAATAAAATACAGATTTTTTTTTTTTTTTTGAGGGGGAGTTTTAAATTTAGGCAATGCAAGATGACCCTTCTCACCGTATGAATATTATCTACATAATTCTCACTGG